CCGTGCGGGGTGAGCCGCAGCCCGCAACGCCTTGCCTCGTCCCCACTCCCCCCACCACCTCCAGAGCCCGTCCACGCCCCGCCAAGCTGGAACCTGAGAGCTCTGGGCCCTAAACTTCGCGGTTCCCAGGGTCATTGGCCCGGCCCTGGTTGCACAGGTTCAACAGCGCCCACAGGCCCCCCTCCCCCACCGGTCCGCTCCCAAGAGGTTCCTACCACCCACCCCAGGGCCAATCGGTCCGGGGTTTGTCCCATCTCCGGGCCCCAGTCCGATATTTGGGCCCCATTGTAGGTCCTCGTCCATTGACCCCAGCTTCAGGGACCTCTGATTTCCTTGTGCAGCGGTTTGTGAGGAGTCTGCAACCCTCTGGCCCAGTGGCCCAGGAGCGCCTCCACTCTTCCTCTATTTTGGGAGGACCTCCGGCCCCAGCTTCACCTCTGGCCTCTCCCAGGCCTGCTTGCACTGCACCAGGGCGTCTGCAGGGAGCTCCCGGCCCTGTGAGCCAGGCAGAGAGCGGAGCCCAGGCGGGAGCCTGCACCATTCCGGCCTCAGGAGCCCCCCAGACTGCCACCTAGCCCAGGGGAGGGGTGTGAGGCCTGATGCAGCAGGTGCAGCTCTGACCTGGCACCCAGCCACCATGCCTTGGTGTGTTCTCTGCCTGTGGAACCCTCTCCCTGCCCCAGCCCTAGTACCCCTGTCTGCGGCTCTGAGCTGCCCCTCATCAGTTTGCCCCATGGAGGCAAGAAGACAATAGGTGCTACTATTCTGTGTCAGGCATAGCATTTGGCCTTGTGGGTCACGCCCTCATGCTCCCCTGCCTGGCTTCTAACCACAGGCACCTCCGCCTGCTCCCCCAGCTTCTGAAGCCTGGAAGCCTCGCTCCCACCTTCTCTGCCCGCCCCACCCTAGTCTGCTCCAGCCTCCCTGGGGAGGGGGGGAGGTCTGCTCAGGAAGACCCTTTCCAGTGGGGTCTCAGTGCCTAGTCCAGGGCCTGCAGATGGCTCCCCGGGGGCTGAGCACTGGAAGCCAACAGGGGTGTCCAAGGAGAGGCTCCAGGCCTTGGCCTCCCCACCACACAGCCTGGCAGGGGTCCTGTCCAAGGGGGACAAATGTGGGATTTGTTCACTGAGGCCACCACCCACTCCTGCCCAGGATTAAGACCCGTCCTCCCACCGCTCAGAAACCTTACTCACAGTCTCTTTCTAGGGAAGTCAACTGAGCACCAAGAAGGGATGAGTTACACGGGGTTACATAGAGTTGGTGTCAGATCTGGGACTGAAACCTGGAGTTCCAGCAACCTGAGCACCTGGGAACCCTCCAAGCCCCTTACCTCGAGTGTCTCACAGAGCCTGCTTGGACTGGGTGTCAACAGTGTACACACTGGATGCCTGCAGAGCAGCGGCTGGGCCTGCCTCCAGGCTCCCTGAGTCACCCCAGCGTGGCCTCTTGCTCACCTGGCCCTCTTCTTCCATCTGTCGGAAGCTCCCCCAGCTCCCCAGGGAGAGCCAGGATGGGGAGTCAGACGTAAACTGCAATCCCAGCTCCCCACCTTCACTTGCTCTTCAGTCCCACACCCAGGCAATACTGTTCATATCTCTGGGTGTCGATTTCCTCATCTGCAGAGTGACGGTAATTATACTGGTCTCACAGGGCTGTGCAGAAGATGGGGTTTGTGGAAGTTTCTGTAGAGTGTTCTTGTTGCTATCAGTCATTTGATCAAATATTTCTCAGGTTCCTCCTACCTCGGATTTGGAGATACAAGCAGGACTGCATGGTGTGGGAGTGGGTTTGTTGGTTGCTTTGGTACAGAGAGGAGTCTCTCGCCAAGTGCCATTTCCTGAGACTGGGAAGCCTGACAGAAGAGCAAATATGGTGCAGTGGGCTCAGGAGTCCATGCAGGCGCGGGGAGTGGAGGAGACCCAGGGGGAGAGGCACGTGGAACATACAGGACTGAGTGTCCTAGGAGCCTGGGCATCCCCGGCACAGGGTCCCTGAAGTGGCGGGAGTGATTAAGGTCCTCAGGGAGACTGCAGAGAAGAGGTCCCAGTTCCCAGCTGGGAGTAACCAGGTGGCAAAG